GGGGGAGGAGGGGAGGAGTCGGGATCGGAACGAAGGGGGGGGATAGAGGCCGAGATTGGGGGAAAGAGAGAAAGCCGGGACTGGGATATGAATCGGGATTGGAAAGGATGAGAGAAGGTCGGGATTGGGCAAAGGAGGGGTTTCTTTTTTTTCCTCCGTTTAAAAAGAACCGGATTGAGTCAGGGTCTGGGGGGGCGGAGGGACGATACCAATCGTGCCCTGTCTATCCCTCGGTTCTCAACACCTTCACCTCTCACTTCTCCCTCCCTCTTCCGACTCCGCGGCGGGTCCCCTTGTAAAAGTTAAAAGTTAAAAGTTAAAACAAAAGGGGGAAGTCTTCAGATATATGCACAGGTGACCAGCGCCCGGGCATTATTATTATTGATATTATTGTAGATCATATGTCATGATTTTTCTCTTTTATTGAACTTCTTTTCTTAACTTGTTTCCCCCCCAAAAAAAATCCTCCAAGGCGAAAGAAAGGGAAAAAACAGTTTGTGACAAGTTCAGGACCTCAAAGGCCTCAATAGGGAGGAGCAAGCAAGGTCCCACTAGCAAAGAGGTTTGGATGGTTTTTGAGCAGAGATGCAGAAATGCAGATCAATCATGATTTTCTGCACTTGTCCACAAAGACATCCAGATTCGGGCGTTCAATCCAATCCTCTTTGCTAGTGGGACCTCGCCTCAGATTACAGACTGAGCCATGCCCCTGCAGAAAGGAGAGGACACCTACCTCCCACCCAAGCTTTTTTTATTTTTTATTTTTTTACTTAAACAAAAAGCTCAACCTCCCACCCAAGCTATGTAACCAGAAGGATGGAAGTGTGTGAAAAACACAAAAAGAAAAGAAAAGAGGACGAGTAGTGTGTACCAACAGATCACAGAGCAACAGCACATTGAACCTCTGTTATGACTGGGGACAGGGCCAGCCTGGGGGAGGGCCCCTGCAGAAAGGAGAAGACACCTACCTCCCACTGAACTTCTCCAGATGTATTCACTGTTGAACCGCCAGTACATCTGGAGAATTGGAATGAGCCTATCCAACAAGTTAGGGGACTCGGGACAGAGACAGCCTGCTGGGGGAGGGCTTTCGTTTTCAGGGCTGGGGCTAGTGCCACCCCACGGCATGGGACACTTTTTTCCTTCCTTCTACTGGCCCTCTGGCACGCCCTGTCCTGAGGCAAGGCGTGGGAAATGGCCTCCACAGTAGCATCAATGTCATCGGATTGGGTTCAGTTGGGGAGTTGTTTTCTTCTTCCTCCTGAAGAGTCTACTAGCCGGGTGGACGAAACGTGTCGAGGGATTGGCTGCGTGGCTGGGCCGAATTGAAATGATGTACTTCCAAATTCGCGGAATTTGGTGAGATGGTTCGATTCTCTTTTGTATATGCATTTGCGTGTGTAATGGAGCGTGGAGGTTGGTGTATTTGTTTCACTCCGTTCTCGTGCTGGATCTGGCTGGCTGGACCGTTTCTTCTCTCTCTCTCTCTCTCTCTCTCTCTCTCTCTCTCTCTCTCTCTCTCTCTCTCTCTCTCTCTCTCTC